TGTGGCCAGCTCAGCCCACCAGGGGGCGCGGCTGGCTGGCATGTGGTGCTGGAGGATTTAACCGTGGTCCCTGTGCTTTGCCAAGCTTGTTCCAAGTAGGTGCTTTAGACCACTGAGCCATCTCTCCAGCCCCCTGATCTATAGTTTATATAACATAGTGAGCAAGTCTCAAGTGCGAATTATATCAGCAAGTAAACACACCCATGAAATCACTAGAAGCAGCATCACTGCCTGTGTAGAAACATTCGGTTATGTCCACCCCAAGTTGCCATGCCTTTTTTTTTTATTTAGGAGTTGTTTTACTCCTGTTTTAACAACATGTTAGCAATTACTACCAAATTTGTACAGCAGACTTAGGGGTTGAGGAGACTTTAAGCACCAAAACTATAGGAATAGTGGTAATATTGGCAGATTATAAAGCCTACTGCAGATGCTGTAGTGACAAAAGCAAATACTTGGGGTTTTGTTGTTGTTGTTTTATGATATACAATCTTACTACTGTGTAGTTCAGGCTAGCCTTGATTCCAATATGTAACACAAGGTGGCTTGAAATTGCAGGGATCCTCCTACCTAGGCTTCCCTTGTGTTGGGATTACAGGTGTGTGCCACTATCCCAGCTTTTTTTTAAAACAGGGTCTCACTGTGTAGTTCAGGCTGCTCTTGAGCTCACTGTATAGTTCAGGCTAGCATGAACAACACAGTGAGACCCTGTCTCAAAAAGAAAAGAAAAGTTATCCAGGACCAGGCATATTGGTGTATGACTGTAATCACAACATCTAGGAAGCTGCGGCAGGAAGGTCAAAAGTTCAGGCCAGCTTGGGCAAATTGTTGATACTGACGTAAAGTAAAAATTCAAGGGGCCCGGGAAGTTGTGACTCAGTGGTAGGGGGTTTGTTTGGCAGACATGAAGCCCTGTGTTCTGTCCCTAGTACTGTTTTTATAAAAGGAAGGTTGTATGATTTAAAATTTCACAGAAAAAATGGAGAAAACCTACATGTAATTTATTAAAAAAAAATACATGCTAATGGTCCACAAAACATGAGAAACTGTTAAATAATTTTTACACGTGATTTTAACCTTAAAAATATCAAGAGAAATAGATATTAATCACATCTTACAGGAATACTGTAATTGTTGTAGACAAAGGTCACTAACTTACACTAAAATTACTGACCAAAAGTTTGAAAACAATACAGGTTATTTTCATAATTTTCAAGTATTTCCCCAAGATTTTTACTAAGAGAAATCGTAACTATACACTGGAGAGAGACTCTTAGACATAAGTGATCGAGTTTCACATCACTAGTAAGAGGATATCTGACAATATATACCCTTGACGTGAACACTGAGAATTTAGTAATGTCTGTGTAGTACACTCGGCAAACCCCCAAAATGACAAGTGTGCAGAATAACCAACAAATATTCCTTAGAAAAGTGAGAAGTAAGAGAAAACAGTGTTAAAATGAGCCAGAAAGACAAGGCACTGTCACTGATTGGAAGAAACAGGAGACGTGACAACTGAAATGTGGACTTGTACGTCGTAGTCTAGAATAGGGAAAAGGACCTTAGTGGGAAAATTGATGAATTTCAAATACCATCTGAGTTAATAGTATTGTACTAATACTATTTTTCTGGTTTTTGATAGTTCTACAGTTACGTAATGTGTTGACATTCCGAAAAATGTGCTTTATGTAGAAAGCTAAGAACATTATGGGGGCCAGCGAGATAGCTCAGTGGACTAAGCGCCTGCTTAGGCAACAAGGAGCAGTTACCAGGGTTCGATTCCTGGATCCGGATCCACATGCTGCGTCAGCCCTGCCCTCGCCCCCAGGCATGCTGAGCAGGCCACTGAAACCTGGTATGGTGGTGCATGCTTGTAATCCTAGTGCTGAGGAAGCTGAAAACAGGAGGATCACTATGAGTCCAAGCTATGTAGTGAGACCCTGTACCAACTACTTTAAGAAAAGAAAAATATATATCTATATTTATAGATACAGATATGTATCTTCTTTTGAGAGCTATATGGAAATTATCATTTTGTATTTTCTTCCATTGAGCTGATTTATTGAAAGACATGAAGAGAGCCTCTAGTATTCTTTATTCTTTTTATGTTTTTGCTGGCACCCAGTACCACCCAAGGCCTTCACACAGTCACACCCCTAGTCTTTTATCATTTTGAGACAGGCTCTTGCTGAGTCACTAAGTGGTCCAAGCTGGGGTTGAATTTGGGAACCTCCTGCCTCAGCCTGCCAAAGTGTTGGGATTATATGTGTATACCCCCATGCCTAGCTATTAATTTAAAATACTTTCAAAAAAATTTAATGTACTAAAAGTACATCTTAATGTACTACCAAATGCTAATAAAAATATTAAAAAATACTCTTCTATGAAAAAATAAAACAAAATTTCATAACAAAGTCATAATCTTAAAGGAATGATCAGAATGTTACTCAGAGTACAAATCATAGGCAAAGAAGACTGTTTTACAAAGAAAAACAGAAACTTAGAACTTTCTGGTCAGTGAACTAAGAGAAACAAGTAGTGTAATATATATGTACTTTAATATAAACTAGCGTATATAATAGGGTTTTTTATTTAAATAGTTTTGAAAGGGAATAATTTGGACTTTTTCCTGCCTTCTGTTTGTCTTCTGTTTTGTTTTGTCTTCTGTTGTACTGTAGTCGTATATTCACCTCAGCCTCCCAAGTGCACCATCACACCTGTTTTCCTTAG